TGAGTTGCATAATTGGCCATCTGCCAAACTCCTCACTCCACGGCGCCCACAGCTCGCAGCCAAAGGCATATGCTACCAAGAAAGTCATCTGACCGACCCGGGCTGCCTGCTCGCTGATGTGGAAATGCTCTGAGAGGGGGGTCACGACATTGGGATAGACGCTGGTGTTGAAATTCATCGACATCTGCACTACGAAGACGACGGTCAGGATGGTCCATTTCCTGTATCATGGAAAACTGTAGCCGAGTTTGTCATAGCAGTCATCCTCCGTCAGCTCGCGCTTGCCGTCCTCTCGCTCCTTCCCGGCGAATTCGCTGTCACTGTCCCTGCGTTGGTCTGCCGTCTCGCCATTGTCATCAGGAGCGCTCTTCTTCCCGACTTTCGAGTCTTCCTGATCTGCAGATGGATTGTTGACGGCCATTGCTGACCAGATACTGCCGCTTTGGGCAGGGCAGGAATAGGAAAAGGGTGGGGAATGAGTTCCTGAGTACGTGCCTTCTCCTTTTGGCTGTCACCGAGAACCGAGATTTGGTAGATGGATTCTGAGTGAAATCAAGGACCAGTTGCAAAAGGATGAGTTCAATTGAAAGAATGAGGTGACATGCTGAGGGAGGAGTGCACTTGAGGCTTAATAAACCAGGCGACTGAAAGCAGAATATCCTACGTCATGAGTTCTTTCTTAGGGCTACATCTTCAGCGCTTTCCTCGAAAGGGCTTCTTTTTTTTGGCTCAGGGTAACACAGCCCTGTGCCTGCATCCTCGCCAATCTATCCTGTTGTTCGGCCACATCGTGGAGCAACGGATACTGTTGCCATCGCTGAGCATCGTGACAATCGCAGTGTTGAAACCAGCAGTTGCCACAGGTGGACCTGATAAGTTAGGGCTGGCGCTTGTCGGACTTTCCTAAAACGGGCAGTCCGGGACGCTCAAAGGCGGCTGTTATTATTGTCGCTCGCCGCCTGATCAGCACTAACAATCTCCAGTGATGCAATTCCGATCGGTTTTGGCCGGTGAACAGTGGCAGCCGCTGCAGATACGTCTACAGGCCATGTGTATTATGTATACAGTGAGTCGTGGCTGTCGATCCACCGATGCGTCCCGATTTCCGATCCCTCCGAGAGTGTGCACCGGTGTAGCATCAGGATCACATTTACCGATCCATGAAGATAATAATGCATGATGGATATGCACTATGATGAGGTTGTGATATCGTTTTACTCTGCATAATCTCAGTCTTCATCTCATCTGCCGGATTTGGCAATCGCCATGTCGACTTATCTCTTGGCCCGCTTCCAATGTCAACAAAAGTACAACTTTGCTGGTAAATTCACAATCAGTTTGCCTCTTCTTTCTTTTGCCTTTCTGGTATTCTACATTGCTACCGTGGAGCCATCGATATCTCTATTCGAGGCAAATCATTGTAGAAATGGTGATTAGAATGGCCGAGGACTGATGAGACTCGGACAATAGCTTCACACCTCCTTGTCAGCTTTGTAGCTTAGAATAAAACGAGAGAGACGCAGGGAGGGAAGGAGAAAAATGCGAAAGAAAAGTAGAAGGGAAATCTAAGTGAGGAACTGCATTGCGGTGTTGTCACAACTTTGCCTAGATTAACCAACAGTAGCAACATGGCAAAATTTCCTAGAGTAGTTAACGTGGGCTATTCCCAAAGAAAGTCATTGATATTGTTAATCAATAATGCATTGTTACTTGGATTTTACTTGCCATGCACCTCCAGTGCATTATTATTAATTATGCTAGCGGATCGTTCACATCGGACTCGCAACCCCACCAGCGCCCCGCCCGCATTACACAACGCTGGACTGCAATCTTCCATTCCCCCGCATTGCCCAAATCATTGGGGTATACGGTATGGCAAATGCCAACCTAACCTCGCCTGACGCTTTTACAAACTCTCTTCATTGACTGGAGAAGCCGATGACCAGGCGTATTGTCTTATCTAATTCGAGAAGTCGCCTCCAGAATTGTGTTTTCCCCTGGTCCTAGTCTCGCGTGACCTCCAGGTTGAGGTGCCAGGCCTCAACATTTTTGATTGCAGTGTCTCCTCTGTGGTACAGCTGCGAATCTGGTGTTCCTCCATCTCGACTTTCTGATACCCTCCAAAAGTACAGTACATACATACATACATCGCAGCAAAATGGAGGAGCAAGTGGAGAGACTGGTGAAGAAGACCTGGGGTAAGTTCACCCGCGAAGCGCCCTAACGTTGCTCCAACCAGCCAGAAAACCTTGTGTGGAAGCAAGAAAAAAAATTACACCTTTGCATGATGATAATAGGGGCTTACAGAGATCATCGGAGTGTTCACTGTTGACGCCTTGATTGCTAGCGAAATTTCTCTCGACGCCGCCGACGGCCCGGTTAATGATCGCCATCAGTGGAATCCCGGGTTCGGGTAAAACGTCACTGGCATCGGTCATGGTCGATCGCATCAACAAGGTCTATGCTCAGGAACACCCTTCTCTCCCGCCCGTCGCCACCTGTGTCCCGATGGACGGATATCATCTCACGCGTGCGCAACTCGCCGCCATGCCGGACCCGGTCTACGCTGCCGCAAGACGCGGTGCCGCCTTCACATTCGATCCAGACAAGTTCCTACGGCTGGTCAAGCTATTGCGGGAAGAGTTGACACCAGAGACGCCAACCTATTACGCCCCTAGCTTTGATCACGCAGTGAAGGACCCTGTCGAGGACGACATTCCCATCCTGCCCACGTCGCGCGTCGTCTTTTTCGAAGGGAACTACCTCAGCCTGGACAAAGAGCCCTGGAGAACAGCCGCAAAACTGATGGACGAACTCTGGTTCGTCGAGGTGGACTTTGAGACGGCCCGGAGACGATTGATCCATCGACACGTCAAGGCAGGGATTGCGAAGGACGAAGCCGAAGCGGATAAGCGGGCAAGGGGGAATGATCTGGTCAACGGCAGAGAGATTGTGGACAATCGGATGGAAGTTCAGGAGATCATTATCAGCAAAGAGGATAGTACTTGGGCGCACTAGCACCGCACTAGACACCAGCCCGTCAAGTACGCTGTCCTCAATCGTGCTGCGATGATTTATTTTTTCATAGTATAGAATCACGAACAGAGAATACTATTATATTTACCCTTCCATTGAAATAGTGTTCTGGGAATTAGACCAAGCGAGACTCCCTACAATGGCATAATAATGCTTTCATTCGAGGCTTGAAGGAAATCCCTGGGTAACTACGAATTACTCGATGTAGTCATTCAATGGCTCTTGGCTTCCAGTAGACAAAATATTGACTCTGTTCCAAGCGGTAGGAATTACAGGTTTCAAGGACGGACATCTGTGCCATAGAGAGCGTTAATAGCGCTCACACGCCAAATGTGGCCTTGGACGTAAGGCCTCCTGCAATCCTTATCTCAAATTACTATATAACAACAGAAAACAAGAAAAGTCGAACAAAACCAGAAACAATTCCTGATTCCATAAAAAAAAAGCTTACACTCCCAGCTTCTTAGGCGGTGTTACGAAAACTATTAGGAGACCTGGGCTTATATCGACTCCTGAGGGGGTCAAGGATTGTCCGTCATTGAGAAAGCGATGAATTCAATTCATACTATGGGTTGCTCAAATTTATACAATTAAATGTGGTTGCTGATTGGACTTCACACAAAAAAGGTTTTTTGAAACGACACCGAAGTCTAAACCAAATTGATATCATGCGTTTCTGCCTCCGAGTAAGCATATTGTCATCTACTTCGCGCGACTCCACAAGTTAGGCTCTGGGGCAGCACTTCCGCTCAATATTCATCGTCTTCACTATTAACTATCAGCTCTATACCTTTTTTTTTTTCACCCTTCACTACAATGTTTCCGAATCTAGAAAAGTCGTGGAAATGGAAGGCAATTGTCCTTGTGGCTTCAATAGCGGCATTTCTGCGATGGATCTGCCTGGGTAAAATCCGAGCGAGACAAAAGCAGTTCTTGCCCCAAAGTCGCATCTCGCCCATCGCCGAACTACCTCTAGAGATCCTACTGGAGATTGCGGAGCTCCTGCCGCCGATATCCAAACTTTGCTTTGCTTTGAGCTGCAAATCATTGATGAATACCCTTGATGGCTCTAAAGCTTTGCAGAGATCACCCAAATTCCAGCATCCCCAGGACCTCTTGACACCGTTACATTTCTTTAAGCGCAAACATATCTTCCAAGAAGACCGCTGGCAACTGCTCCGACAACTTGAAGACCCTTATTGGCACTGCTGTTCAGGATGTCTCAAGCTTCATCCAACAAGCGAGTTTACAGCAGATGATCTTGCAACAGATGCGGAGAAATGGACTTGCAAATTCGGGCCTCTAGTAGGCATTGTCCATCTCTGTCCCTGCATCAAGATGACCTTTCGAGATAAGCTCAAGCTTGTTTCCGTCCTGAAGCAATTTCAAAGCCTAAATGCACAGGGAGCCCCTTATTGGCATCAGTGTTCCTATGACTATTGTTCGGTAACAGTACAAATTAAAGTCAGGCCCATGTTAGAGAAAGATGGCAATGTCCTGATCAAGTCTACCTATACTCTTCTTGGCATTCGGCCTTATTGCAATTTGATCCCTGTCCCGCAGCTCTGCTGTCCACCCCGCAGCTTGTTCTACCACATTCGTGATCTCTTAGATCCGCAGAGCACTGGACGCGCAGGATATACAAGACCGATGATCTGTAGGTGGTGTCAGACAATAATTGAAGATGCAAAATGGACCGACAGTGGCTACGACTCATTTACGATTCTAAGGCGCCTGGGTAATGGTACTTTCCGCGCCGACAAAGCTTGGTACAAGCAGACTGATGTTGCGTTCGGGGTTCTTGATGCTAAAGGGCGACGTAAATGTTGGCCCTGGAAATCATGGCTTTAACCTGGTCAAGATTGAAAAAACAAGCAGGGCTTTTACTGACGACGACGCGTCTCGAACCAGAGACCCTCAGCGAGATGAGAGGAAGATGGGAGGAGCAGTGCTAACTGCTTGAGCTATTGGCTCCAGTTTCTGTTGGAAGGGAACAGTTATAATGAACCTCACTGGGAGGCAGCCAATCACCCTCCACCCCCTCCCCCCAAAACACACCCTCTAAGGCCATATATGATTTCTATTCCTTCTCTACCTGTCAACAAACGCGGGCTGCGATGGTGCAGTGGGTAAGTAGCCTAAGTCTCTTATGCCACTAACATCCAGATGCACGGCCTGTGTTCGAATCCCTCTGGGTCCTTTGTTCCCAATATCAAAAAAAAAATAGACGGTGATAGTAAAACTCCTGCCCGCCAAAAGCGTAGGTGGGGGTTTTCGTAGCACCAGCGGGTCCCGGGAGGGAGGACCCCTGGTGTGAGCTTTTTTATATCTTTAATCTTTTTAATCTTTACCTTAGGACGCGGTCATTGTGAGGTGAAGCTATTGTTGTTTCCTTTTTTGGAACCGATATGCAGGGTATGGCCCCACAGCTTTGTTTGTCTGCGACAGGGTGGGACCTTGAAGTTTTCTTCTTAGGCGTTTCTCCTACTTAATTGAACACTATTGCATCAGCCAGACCGATTGAGCATATTTTCTTGCCTCTCTGGAGCTGAGATAGGAATGAGTTACCAGGCAGTACTGGACGTAATATAACTAACTGTTAGTTAACTATGTTGATCTGCTTAGCTAATCAACTTGATAATGCGGAGAGGGGCTAGCGCCTGACGCTATTCCCTTCTTGTCAAAGTAACATCGGGGTCTGATCGCCCCAAGCCGCCAAGCGTACTCCGTACCTGACTATTAATATTAACCGACCGCGACAAGGCTTGGTCAAACACTCCCTTTTCATCTCAACTCTTCGTTCCTTCAATCATTTCGCTCTTTCAACCGTCACCAGCGACCAGTTTAGATCTGCCCTCGTCACTCCTTTCAAGGAACTACGTTCTTTACCATAGCCGTTCTTTAGCACTCCTTTCGTCGCAATTCTCAGTCGGTCTTCCAACTTCCACGGTCTCCTGCCTTTTATCCTCCGACTACAACCAGTTTTGCTCCTCCATCTCGATTTTTGAAACGTATACAATTCTAGCCACCATGTATATCGCCAAGTCGACTCTCCTCGCCATTGTGGCTCTCACCGGCCTCGTTGCGGCCCAGACCCCCGGATGCTTGCTTTCCGTCGTTGGGTACGTCGGTCGTGAAACAGATCCATTGGCCCGTAGGACAATATTCACTGACTATACTTTTTGATGCTCGCTGCAGGGACCAGCCCAATCCCGCTGACCTCAAGACTATCTGCGGTGACGCGGCTTCCAAAGTTCAGAGCGCGATCAAGAGCGAGTGCGGTGATGGCTCTGCCAATGCCTTGCAAGTATTCTCGAGCACCTGCTCCTCCGCTGGATTCCATGTTGGTACGTTCGGGCTGTCTTCATTTATTTCGGGGTTTCTGGAATTCTCTACGGAAAACTAATGTCGGTTTTTTTTAGCTGAGGTGACGTCTACCGCTTCGGTCGTTTCTTCTACTGGCACTGCTACTTCTAAGCCCACCGGATCTACCTCGGCTACCGCTACTGGCTCTGCCTCTGGCTCTGGTGCCACCGGTTCTAGCTCTGGCTCTGGCTCCGGCTCTGGCTCTGGCGCAAGCTCTACTGCAACTTCCACTGGCAGCAGTGCCTCTGCTTCGGCATTCCATGGCGCGGCTCCATCGAACCAAGCTGGCTCCGCTGCTGCATTTGCCGCTGCCGTGTTTGTTGGGTTCGCCTCTCTGCTGTAAGGTCGAACCACGCTGGTCTGTTGAAGGTGTGCGGTAGAATGAGAGTGGATTTATACGTGATATTTGTACTTTTCTTTGTTTGTCACTATTTATTTGATAGATTATCTATTTTTGGCTCTTACCAGTGTCAGAGTGGTCAGAGGAATCGATGTTGCAGTGATGGTGCCGTCGGCGCTGCTTAACAGTAGCATTGCAGAGTATATATAAGCCTAATCTACCACGTTTTGAATCTCAGCACTTTGTCTGTGTCAGTAGAAATATAGGCAGATTCATATTCGGTATTTAAGCGCAGAAAATCGCAATGGATACTGTCCAAGCTGTCCGAATGTTGCCTGTTTGCTTTTTGCCGCAAAAACTGCCGTAGAATTCGGAGACAGCGGAAAAATTCACCAGCAGATCGCATCAGAGTCTCCTGGAATTCAAATTCCGATCTCATATGCCATCAAGAAGCGATTGGACGTTCACAATAATGTGGAACCGTGGATCTGGTTGATTATCAATACGAATCACGTGACCACGAGTCGCGTGGCTGCCTATGCAAAGGGAACCCATTTAACCCAAACACGAAAATCGCGTCCTTGCTTTCCGACACGCGTTGCGCTGGGAGATCAAATACCACGCTCGCTGCCCCTCCCATCTCTCTTCTGTTTTTTATCCTCCAACCCTTCCAAGGGCTTTCACCCGGGCTTTCCCCTTTTCTCTTCGTGGTATTCTCTTCTCTTGCAATCATTTATATTCATTGCCACCTTAGGAATAAAAAATTCCAGATACCCTTCTCTTCTTCATTACATCATTGTCGAAATCCTCACCGTCGTCTAGGGAGTCTGGGGTCCTTTGAGATACACACGTCAAGATGTTTGTCTATAAGAGAGGTAAGAACTGGTTCCCAATATGTGACTAGAAGAAAAAAGTTTTCGTCTCGTTGCTTCCTTCTCTCAACCTTGTCGTCTTTGTGGAGCTCAATTGCTGCTTTCAAACAGAATGCTGATCACCGTGACTCTATGACAGATGGACGCAAAGAGCGCGTCCAATTTGACAAGATCACAGCCCGTGTGTCGAGGCTGTGCTATGGCCTCGATCCGGAGCATGTCGACGCTGCTGCCATAACGCAGAAGGTCATCTCGGGTGTCTACCAGGGTGTGACCACCGTCGAACTGGATAACTTGGTATGTTGTCCCAACAACCTTTCGAGCAATGGCCTTGGATTCTAACTTCATGCTTCATAGGCTGCTGAAACTGCTGCATACATGACTGTCAAACACCCCGACTACGCAATCCTCGCTGCCCGGATAGCAGTGTCGAACCTCCACAAGCAGACCAAGAAGCAATTCTCTGCCGTCATTCAGGACCTTTATCACTATGTCAACCCGAAGAACAACCAACACTCTCCCATGATCTCCAAAGAGACCTATGAAATTGTTATGAAACATGCTGATGAGCTGAATTCTGCCATCGTTTACGACCGCGACTTCAACTACAATTACTTCGGTTTCAAGACCTTGGAACGCTCATATCTGCTTCGGATAAACGGCAAGGTTGCTGAGCGCCCTCAGCACATGATCATGCGTGTGGCTGTCGGAATTCACGGTGATGACATCGAGAAAGTCCTTGAGACCTACAATCTGATGTCTCAGAAGTACTTCACACATGCCTCTCCCACCCTGTTCAATGCCGGCACTCCCCAGCCGCAGCTCGCCTCTTGCTTCCTTGTTGATATGAAGGAAGACAGCATTGAAGGTATCTACGACACTCTGAAGACTTGTGCTATGATTTCCAAGACTGCCGGTGGCATTGGCCTCAATGTGCACCGTATCCGCGCCACTGGCTCCTACATCGCAGGAACAAATGGCACTTCAAATGGTCTGGTTCCTATGCTTCGAGTTTTCAACAACACTGCGAGATACGTTGACCAAGGAGGCAACAAGCGACCGGGTGCCTTCGCCATCTACCTTGAGCCTTGGCACGCCGATATCTTCGAGTTCTTGGATCTTCGCAAGAACCACGGAAAAGAAGAAGTTAGAGCTCGTGATCTGTTCTACGCTCTTTGGACTCCTGACCTTTTCATGAGAAGGGTTGAATCCAACGGAGACTGGACTCTTTTCTGCCCCAATGAAGCGCCCGGCCTTGCGGACGTGTATGGTGAGGAGTTTGATGCCCTATACGAGAGGTAAGATTCAGATTTTGTATCTCGGTTTATTGCAGCGCTAACCTAGGTCGACAGGTATGAAAGGGAGGGCCGAGGCCGCAGAACCGTTAAGGCGCAGAAGCTTTGGTACGCGATTCTCGAGGCCCAGACTGAGACCGGAAATCCTTTCATGCTTTACAAGGATGCGTGCAACAAGAAGAGCAACCAGAAGAACCTGGGCACCATTCGCAGCTCGAACCTCTGTACTGAGATTATCGAGTACTCTGCCCCCGATGAAGTCGCTGTCTGCAACCTGGCCTCTCTCGCTCTGCCTACTTTCGTGGACGCGGCGCGTGGCGAATATGACTTTGGAAAGCTGCATGAGGTTACCCAAGTCCTTGTCCGAAACCTCAACAAGATTATCGACATCAATTATTATCCTGTGCCGGAGGCCAGGAAGAGCAACCTGCGCCACCGTCCTATCGCGGTTGGTGTCAACGGTCTGGCTGATGCGTTCCTCGCACTGCGCCTCCCGTTTGATTCTCCGGAAGCGAAGCAGCTGAACATCCAGATCTTCGAAACCATCTATCACGGTGCTCTGACAGCGTCGGTGCAACTTGCTAAAGACAAGGCCCGTATGAGACCTACGAGGGTTCTCCAGTCTCGCAGGGAATCCTCCAATATGACATGTGGGGCAGGACGCCGACGGACCTCTGGGACTGGAGTTCCCTCAAGGCCGAGATTGCCAAGTACGGTGTCCGAAACAGCTTGCTTGTTGCTCCTATGCCTACTGCAAGCACCAGTCAGATTCTTGGCTTCAACGAGTGCTTCGAGCCGTACACCTCCAACATCTACTCTCGTCGTGTGCTTGCTGGCGAGTTCCAGGTCGTCAACCCGTGGCTGTTGAAGGACCTTGTTGATCTCGGCCTGTGGTCTGACAACATGAAGAACCGCATCATCGCTGAAGGCGGCTCCATCCAGAACATTCCGAACATCCCGGCTGACATCAAGGCTCTCTACAAGACCGTGTGGGAGATTTCTCAGCGGACTATCTTGGAGATGGCTGCCGACCGTGGTGCGTTCATTGATCAGTCTCAGTCTCTCAACATCCACATGAAAGAGCCTACCATGGGCAAGATCACCAGCATGCACTTTGCTGGCTGGAAGATGGGTCTGAAGACTGGCATGTACTATCTCCGTACTATGGCTGCTTCCGCTCCAATCCAATTCACCGTGGACCAGGAGCAGCTCAAGGTTGCGGACACTAATGTCGCGCGTACGAGCAATCTTGCAGCAAAGAGACGACCTCTGGGCTCGGGGGCTTCTTACAACAGCTCGTACTCGGCGGTCCCTCGTCCGATGTATGATCAGAAGCAGTCGAATGCTCCTGTTCCTGCCGTTAACGGGACGGCTGACCCTTTCCGGCCCGTCTCAGCGACAACGACGAAAAGTTCGTCGCCCGACAGTCCTCGTGTGCTTGCCACCGATCCCGGTACGAGCCCGCCCCGTGACGAGCAGTTGAAGGGCGGCCAGGAGGAGGATGCAGAAGAGAACAGCGAGGAGCGGGAGCATGACATCTATGCTCAGAAAGTCCTCCAGTGCAGCATTGAGAACAAGGAGGCTTGCCTCATGTGCAGTGGCTGAAGAGGCTGCCTGGTTTTAATGTTGCGAATTTGGTTTGATTTTTTTTCTTTCGTTTTTTTGCCCCCTGTTTTCCCCCTTTCCCATGTCTGCCTGTATCTATGTATGTACGAACTTGATGCCCCATTGCCTTGATTTATATTCCTGCCCCGACTTCACCATCAGAATGTTTCAACCTATGATCGATGCCCTGTTATGTCTGTTGTCGTCCATCTGTTTTGGGTCCCCTGTTTTTGCCATATGTGGTTCTGCAATAATGGCGTTAATGCTCGTATAGTGATAGTCAAGAATTGAAGGATTCAATTGGTATATGTCGGTTGTAGTATCCAAAATCCGACGGATATACTTGGTAATTGCTGGTTATAGGAGACTAGGAACAATAGGAGAGTGAGAATGATGGGAAATGGAGCAATACTAATAATCTATTAGTGCAAATCTGTATAGTATATTGGCCTGTATGAATGCAACTTTGGCTTCGTAGTTTCCCAATTAGGAAGGTCTCTCTAGACTTGCTAGTACAGCTAGGACTTTCTCAGGCGCCTGAAAACAGACTGTCTGATGGAGGCATTTTGTCGGTGTTCTCTTCTACCATACAAACAGGTGGGGAGTCGATACTTGGGTACCCCTCAAAAGGGAGGGGGGTGCACCGGAGTCAGCTTTTCAGTGGGGGAGGGTGCAGCCGAGGAATTAGGTGTTTTGCCTGTCAGTCACTATTGATCGACGACTAGTTCCGACTCATTTTTTTGGCAGAATTCGCAAGAGTACGGAGTAGAACTCTGCATCCAAGTACACGTCTGTTCCCCGATTTTCATAGTCTATTACCATGGCAAATCACGAACGGAGATGACCTACCAATCCCATAGAGGTCTATCCGAGGGGTGCATCCGAGCAATTTTCACGCAGAACGAAAACAAAGCACCAAAAACTTTTCTGAACCCGCTGGATAAGACTTGGTTCTGGAAACACATCACATTACCACTTCTTCAAGACTGGGGACCATACAGCAGCAACTTTACTTCAATCCTCTTTGCTCTGAAGCATAAACATGGCGGCAACCACAACCGCTTTACTTCCTGCCGGCTGCGGCGTGTGCGGGAAAACCGAGAACCTTCTGCGTTGTTCCCGCTGCAAAGTTATGGCCTACTGCAGCCGCGAGCACCAAGTTGCCCACCACACTGAACACAAATCTGCCTGCAGCGCCGTCGGCAAGAAGCGCGCCATCCTCGACGCCGAGGAGCAGAAGCTCCGCTCCCACCCCGACAACTTCTTCAAAAATGACGTCGGGCACTTCTGGGGAATCTGGGAGACGCGTGACTACATGAGTGCGCGGTTTGCGCTCGTCGAAGCTCTGAGGAAAATCAAGACGCACGATGCCGTACAGCAACAGCTGGATCATGCTCTGGATCTGCTGCGACTATGTCGAAGCGACAACATGGCAGTGAGGGACGTAGTCTCTGCGCTGATATTGCGACTGAATAAATACCAGGAATGCTATGACTTTGTGAAATGGTGGAGCACGACGGGAAACGATGCGGATTACGATTGGGGAGACATGAAACTGCCGTATCTGGATATCAAGAATGCGGATGCGTTTGAGCCAGTCGAGTACCTATGCAGCGGATTTCCTGACCTGAGCCACCTAGTCGCAATTACGCTGCTGAAGATAAGGTTGATGCTGGACTTGATGGCGTTGGAGGACCCGGCCACCGTGAACGAGAAGTATCCCCGCGAAATCTTCCACGCCACTCGGCCCTCTGCTCCACGGAGCCCGATCGTCACTGGAAACAAGGATATCATGGAACGCAAAGATCAGCGGGCATTTATTGACAAGCTGGCGGAGCAGGTGGATTTCCTGTACAAAACTGTCAACAAGGCGAACAAGCATTTTTGGCCAAGTCTACTGAATCCGGGAAGCCACTTGACCGCGCAACCAGTGATGTTCAGACCTGGCGGCATTGAGGAGATGCAGGTGGCGCTTCAATACTCGTAAGATTCATGGATTGAGACTCCAGGAGCGATTGAGGTGATCAAGGCAAAAATTGAGGGGAGGAACTAGTTGTGACCAGACCTGTATACATCTTAGCAGATGGAATACCATGTCAGGGAGGGCCATCTTGTGCTATTTCATAGCGCCAGTATCCTCCACCAGCCAATTTGTCCCATGGAGATGATATGAGGAAATTCCCAGGCTCGAATGTATTTAGTTCTTGTTAACATGGAAACTGCATGTTGTCTGCATATGCACGTTAAGATTGCCTATTATAGTTTAGTCCTGTCACCTGACTCCACCTAGGACATCCAGCTGATTCGTCCAATTAGACGGCACCAAAAGATCCAGGGGCTGATTGGCCCATCTTAATCCAGACTTCCAGCTTGGAGCACTCATCAGCCCTCGCTCGAAGTCATTTTTAGTTATATCGCTCAGTTCAGCTGCCAAGTCGATTCAATATTGCCATTGAATTATTCATTCATTTAAGTTCCAACACATGCATGCTGATCCAGATGGCGTCTAGCGGAAAGCCGTGATCTTTTGCGCCTGTCATCTCGGAATACCTACCTAGTGTTGTACATTGTTACCTACATCTATGTTGCACTCGATGCCGGAATCTCATCTTCTGCTTTCCCGTCTGGCATCAACATGTCGACGTTCCATCGGGCTACGGCCCATCGAAGGAGGACGAAGACAGCGGCAGCAACGTGCTGCCATCTCTACAAATGCACCTCGGAGAACCACTCCCTTTGCCATTACGATACCGACTAGAAATGTAGTGGGACGTGGTATCCATTCGAGTATTCCCTTTCAGAGCGTCCACAAGAATACATCGCAACCTGCGCACGCCATGGTGAGAATTCCCGATCTGTTCGTTTCCTGGGCGTCGCAGGCGCCGCGCGTAAACCCGTTTTATGAAAAAGTGAGGCCCCAATTTGAGGGGTGGTTTCGGGAGTGAGTGCACACAAGATTGGCTTTCGTTTTCGAAACTTACTATAGTTAGTCGAAGTGAAGGCTTACACTTTGTAATTCATGTTTGCTTGGCGCTTTCAGCGTCTGCAAGCTCGATGAACAACAGTACAAGAAATTCGTTCTAGGAGATCTGCCCTATTTTGCGGCCGTATGGGCACCAGATGCGGACGAGGATGCGTATCGGCTTGCTTGCGATTGGGTGGGCTGGGTGAGTTGATTCAACAAGCCAGGAGCTGTGGGAGACTGACAATTAATTACAGGTCTTCGTCTTTGACGATAGTTAGTAATGAATATCCGTTTCGTCGGCATGAAAATGCAAATACTCAACCGGAATGCAGAAATCGACGAAGGCGAACTCCGCCATCGAACGGATCTTGTCCGCAAAGAGATCCAAGCGACCATGTCGTTGACGGGCGCAAACCCGATAGCATATTCTCCGCAGGAACGAGGGGATCTGTATGTGTTTGACTCGATATGGCAGAGGATCAAGAAGGTACGCTTTGCCCGCTAGATCTGCTACAAGAAGAAATTTAGCTCACATGCGCCTTTTTGAGCAGGCTCCAGAGGGTAGGTGGAAAGCCTATGATAGCATCCTGACGGCGGACGCCTTGGTGCTTATGCAATCGTAGGTATTCAACGTCGATTCATCGACACTCACCAAAAGTACATGGGACAGCTGCTGGAAGAGACCAACACGGACTCGCTGGGCTTGTTCCATGACATAGATTCCTTTGTCGATCGTCACCGGTTTTCCGTCGGGATTTGCCCGATGTATCCGATTCTAGAGTAGGCATCGTCTTCGCTAAGTGACTGAGCTGTTGAAGCTTAGTTGTGTTGCTGTTGCTGACATGGATTATTATTGCTCAGGTACTGCAACAAACTCGATTTACCGGATTATGTCTTCGAGACGGCTTCTATCCAGAAGCTGGAAGCTTTGGTCTCGGAGATTGGGCTTTTGTAGGAACATTTTCCCTTCGCCAGCCTACTTGACAGATTGCTGACATGTTGGCAGAACCAACGACATATTTTCCTACGCCAAAGAATGCGTATGTTCCGTAGTCTGTTCTTTTTTTTTCTTTACTCAAGCATAACTAACCTATAATTATGTGCTTGTCCAGTCCTCCGGCGACCAGCACAACATCATCATGTTCCTCCGCCAGAAAGAGGGCTTGAGCCAGGAAGCGGCCTACGAGCGCATCGGCCGGGAGATCACCCGCCGGTATCAAGAATGGTACCTCGCGCTGGCGAAGCTGCCGCAGTGGGGGGAGGCAATCGACGTTCAAGTGCAGAAATACGTGCGCGCCCTGCAGGACCTGGTGCTGTCGAATCTGAACTGGAGGTATGCACCTGGCATATATCTACATACGATATGTTTAACTGACTGTGTATAGCTTCCGCAGCCAGCGATACTTTGGCAAGGGGAATGAGCTTGCAAGGCGAGAGAGGCTAGTCCCGGCTGTAGTGGACCAGTAGCAGAACCATAGGAGGTGTAGCTGTGCAGTCTTGTCCTCCATTTCTGAGTGGATAGGGGGGGGGAATCAAGTCCCTACTCTGAGAGTCAGAAGGAGAAGGAGGAATAACTGATTGATTGATTGACTGATTAATTGATTGGTTAGATGGTTGATTAGGCATCAATCAAGCAAGTGACATCTGATAGGTTAGGTAGGTATGTACCTAGGTAGGGCTGACTTTTCGCCCGAAAAGACGAACGAAAGGAACGGGTTAGTCAGGACCCAATTATCTTGGAGACCTCTAATACTACCTAGGTAGGTACCTTCCTTACTTTCCAATAGGTTAGGTACCTACCTATATAATCAGGTCCCACAGGGCCATATCCGACTGTTAATGCGGGATTAATTAGATAAGGTACCAGTACATAGGTGATGTACATACTAAGCCCTACGGGTTCTAGACCTCCCTCCCTGCCTGTCCACTACTGTAGGTACCTACTGTACCTGACTACCTACCTAACCGCCTATTATCTCCTCAGAGGAGAGGAGACGAGCCCACTGGGTCCAACAACCTCTTAACGAGTTACAGAAGGCGACTGTCCTCTCCCCGCGAATAAACGATGACAACAGGGTTGGAGCGTTGAGGTGGAGAGGAGAGGTGGTGGACTTTGCTTCAAGCAAGCAAGAAAGCAAGCAAGAAGGGGGGAAAATAACGCAGATTACGATTATCCAACGGATAATCATTCCTTCATTCATTCACTGATTGGTTGCAGAGGCATATACAGTATCTGGACAGTATGCAGTATACCCTCCTTTCTCAATCAGGTCCGAAGATGATGATGTATGCACTTACTACTGGGTCTGGAGGAAAATTCTTAACCTGGTGACATGTGATGAGTTTCCTTTCTTTCTTTCTTTCTTCTTTTCTTTTTCTTTTTTTTTAATTCCTTCCTTTCTCGTTCCTATCCCAGTCGGACAGTACGGAGTTCTCCGTATTCGGGTACCCATGACAAAGGATCGTACATAGATCGTAGAGTAGGGTAATAATCCCGGAACATTCCGACCTGACTGATCCAAAGTTCAAAGTTTTTTTTAAAAAAAAAAAACTTTAAATTAAACTCAGAGATATAAAGAACACTTCTGCTTACATAAATGCGAAATGCAAAAAAGAAAAAAGAAAGAGGGTGGCAAGCGGAACAACTGCCTTATCCGGCGTTGAAAGAGCAACAAAGCACATGATCCGGTCCGAATGGAACCAACCGCAACTGCAGGACGGTTGGAGACGTCGGAAAGGAAAAGCCGTGTCTGGTCAGGCACCTAGCCTATCAGCTTGCATGGTCCCTTCGGGATGAGGAGGAAGTCCATTCAGACGTCAAGCCCAAGCATGATCTGAGATGCGGGTTGGCGAGGAGAACGATTGCTTATCGATTAGATAAGCCCTGTGGGCCACTGGCCCTGGCTCCGCCAATCACGCCTGGTGGGTCTCACAGCCGACCAATCGGGCCCCACGAGTTGCCTGGCATGTCTCTGCCCTACAGCACACAACTGGCATTGGGATCCGGCCTAGACCACGCTGTCGAGTCGCAATGATGACAACTGGTTTCAGAGCTGATTATCCACCTTGCACCTTGATTCGCACTGCAGACATCCAACCTGGCAAAGCAATTATGTGTGTGGCGTGCAAAATGTGACAGGTGCTTCAACTCCAAGTTCGACCGATACGACATCTCACAAAGTCGAGACCTTGCGGTGGGGAAAAACCTCCCCTCTTCTCGGATGGTGGCCGACAGGGCTAACGGTCAACTCGAACGGCAAAGATACTCGAGAAGATGCACTCCAGACACGCGTACTCTCCACGCATCATCCATGGGTAACAGAGCATGGCAACAAATTCGGAACCGGGATGTCGGGTCAGGAACTCGGCTTCCTCCATGCTTCGGGAAGGTCTGTCGAAAACTTCAGGCACAGCAGAGGAAAACTTTGAAGGCGGGGTGAGGTTCCTTTTGTACGCAGAGTCGCCGGACTTGGTAACTGTCTGGGGCCGCACGACGAACATAGGCCAACCAGGTCCCTGCATAAGATCGTCCGTACCTAACCATGGTCCGCATGTCCATGGCTCTCTTTTAAAATTTTAGACTCTGAAGAGCCACCGTGACAGTGAAAGAATTGCCGCATAGGGCCGGCCGCCGTCTGCCTGGGACCCGGCGCCTGCCTAGGCAGGAACGCCCTCCGTCCGGCTCGGAAAGCACCTTCCTACGCAGTCAACTCCGGGCTAGTCCCAGAGGGGAAAAGCCCGCTGGTGCCGGCCAAGCGAGGGGCCTCAGAGCACTGAGTGGCCAGCGCCCCTTGGCCTGTGCGCTGTGAAGCCATGTGCGACTCGCGAGGCCCTCAGGCACCGGCCCGCCGCCAATCGCAGCGTGCCCTGTCAGACTAAGGTTAGGCTGTAGCCGGTCACACGCGGCCAATCAGCCCCGTTGACACGTCGCTCGCAGAGTCATCGCTTCCTCTAGACCCTCGTACCTGCTTTTCAGCTGTGAGACAGACGCCAACAAGCAACGTCAAGCCTTTTTTCGCCCCACACGCACACCCGTCAGCACTGTAAGTTCATCAGCACTGTAAGTCTGCAGCTGTCCTTCCGGAGTCTGTAGGAATCCATCTCCGACAAACGGCAGGGTAAAACGTCTAGACCCGCTGCGTCCAGTGGAACCTGAAGAGGGGGGAGCTTATTGGAGGGGCGTTGGCTCCGCGTGCGCCGTGGGAGCAGCAGGCGTGGCTCGTTTGCCCCTGGCCCGGCGCCCCGTTTCGCTCCACCGCATCCACCACGCCACGTCCCCCCCCCCCCACGAGTTTCGTTTCTCGCCTCGACGAGTCGACGCCGTGCTGCATGATAGATCTGCCTGCTCGTCCCCCGTCGGCGCCGCCCTCCGCTCCTTATTTAAACCTCCTCGACACCCCGGTCGATCGCGCCCCGTTCTCTTCTCCAGATCAACTGCAGTCTTTCCCTCAGAGAACACCCTTCACATTCCTTTCAGGCTGTCCTTCGTGGGCGCTCTGTTGCATCCAGTCCTTACTCCTGCTGTGCAGAAAGCTCTTTCCTTAGCTCTGCCTCCGATACTCTTGACCTGAGTTTCCCTTGAATCGCCTGGTCGATTCACTTCGCATTCCTTCGCAACCCCCGCACACTGCGCCCACTCATCGGATCTGTCAGAATACCAACGACATCATCGTTCACAATGGCCCCTCTGTCCAAGACTCTCGCCCTGGCCGCGGCCTTTGCCGCTCTCAGCTCTGCTGCCCCTGTGAACAAGCGCGATCTCGTCTGGGAGACCGTCACCGACGTTGTCTGGACCACTGTCGACACCACCATCACTCTGTACCCCGGCGAGCCGACCCCGACTGCCGCTGCGGTCAGCACCACCAGCGCTGTCGTCGCTG